GAGCGCTACATTATAGGACAGTGAAACCAGTGCACAAAACAAGTCTTCTGAATTAGTAGAGTGCTTATGGCACACATTTTAAGAGTGAATTAATCTCAGCCCTGCCACTAACCTGTTGTGACACTCAGGGCTTTTCACTTCACCTCACTATATATTCGTTTTTTCCATCGTACAATAGACATAATGATACTTCTCCTGCTTTTTGAAGCCTTCTGAGAATTGCAGCAATAAAATACTACATAAAAAGAGATATGCATTTATATTGAAATGTACCTATTCACAAAGAGCCATCAATTTCCAACTCGCTAGTTAAATCATCTTTATAACCATTCATTCACAAAAAGCATATGAAAAATTTACCTGTTCATTTTTGCAGATCCACACAGTATTCCCCTGAAGTAGAATAAAGATTTTGGCTTTGTATCCTTTCAGCTCAAGATACCCGCTTTTCTCAGGGGTGACAGAAGTTCGAGACTGAGAGTTATTATCAGACTGTGATTTCAAGGCATTGAGCATCGTATTAACCCAGTCATTCCTTTCTTCTAAACAAGAAAAAAAAATTCACAAAGATATATGGTTAAGCAGAAGCTCCATTCTTCTCTACCACATTTGTTTTCCTCTTCTTCCTACTATGCTATGCTGGTTGATGGTACAGCTATACCACATCAGAGAGAACATCCACCTTGAAGAGAAGGTGGAAACAAAAATAACATGAGAGTCCGTATCAGTGGAGATGTTAGCAGAGATAGCCACTCAATTAGCTCCCAACAATCAAAACAGAAATTGAAAAATTATACAAACTGATGATCAAGATTCTTAAAATCAAGACTAATAGTTCTAAGATGCTGAATTTCAGACCGCTTAAAGACTGAGGTGGTAGACAGGTGGCATGTTCACCTTCTGAAAGCCAGATCAATGGGAAAGAACCTCAGAAGTTATGTAAGCAAAAACCAGGGAGCCTAAATATCATTTGTCATTAAAGAGGCAAGCCTTGCCCAATGCTATTCTATCTTTGGCGATGCTTTTAAGCATAAACGTTTACAGTCTATTGCATTAAGGTGTAGTGGTTAAGCTTGCTATTACCAAGGGTACTGAGTAATTAAGAAAATGCATGTTTGAATATCTTTGCATGCATTATTAATTTAACATCTTACAAATACATGAACACAAGTAGGTGAAGTAATAAACTTCCACTCAGTCTCATTCACTGTGTTCAGATATTTCACCAGACTAAGATCAATATACTTTAATGCTGAATACTCTGAATGAATTAGACTTGCCCTGTGCAATTGGAACTTCATGAATATTTCAACTCTTTGCTCTGAAAGATTCAGGTCGTAAAATATATTGGAAGGGGCAGGGAGGGAAGTAAAGTTCTATCCTCAGTATGTATAAAGTTGACACTATCAGTCAACACTGCAAAGAGCATTGTTAAAACAGTAATGTGCTTACTTCACAAGTGTCATGTGTGCAACAAGAAGAAACAAATACACGATTCAAGCATCACAAAATAGTTTGAAGAAGAGAAAGATAGCAGCCTGACAAACTAGCACAGGGAAGGTGATCCAAGTGCTCCTCTTAGAAGTTTTGTTTTAATACACGCTCTTCTAAAGTACTTTGAAAAGATCACTGGAATATCTCGGTATAGTTGAGGGTATCAAATTACTCTAAAAGTTTTTTTTTTTAATGGTATTTCACTCCAGTTAAACAAAATCTAGCTGCGTATGAGCAGATTATGCTCTAATTCATTGCTATCAACTAACTAAATTTTTTGCCCCCAAATGCCCCTAAATTTTCCAAAGCATTATATACAGAGTTTTTCCCTCTAGGTATTTAAATCAATCAAAAAATAGTGTATTTTTGATAAACCAAAAAAATAATAAATCAGAGCACTGAAAGCAAACAAAACGAGTGCTATAATCCACTGATTGCAGACAAACATTGGTATCAAGGGACACAGATCAATGAAGACGATGACAGCATTTTTTTATTTTAATACCCCATCAGAAAGAAAGAAACATTAATAAATAAGTCCACAGGCTGAAATATGTATAAAAGTCTCCATTTCAAAATCTTTGAAAAGAAGTTAAGTACCCTTTGAATACTCACAGAACAATTTCCAACCACAAATCCACAAAAGGAATAGCATCAAGTGACAGTTTGTACACATTACAGAAAGCAAGCAGGGTTATTTACATAATTTACTATGAATATATCATCCAGCTCTGGATACAGTAAGGACCAAATTACTTGTACAACACACATTTCTAACCTTAAGTGAACAGCTTTATAGACACGTCACTATGTCCAAAGATGGTTATATACTAAAGGAAAACGCAATTTCATGTATAACAAGTGGTTGCTCTGAATATATATAAGTCAGTATAAGTCGTTAACCTTTTTATAGTATTCAAAGGCAACAGTCCATAAAGGAAATTACAGCCCTACAAAATGTATTGCACTAAGATAGTTACGTTCCAATTTATAAAAAAGTAAAAAAAAAAATTTGGAAGAGAAAAGCAAAAATAATAAAAATAGACATACTTTTAAACTCAGCTAAGAGCATAAAAATGCCTGAAATTATTTGAGCCAAACCTGATAAGAAGGATTTGTTCACTGACGCTGCACTCCTGTTACAGCCTGCAGCAAATGTTTACAACCAAGCTATAACCCATAAAAACGGGATTTGATAATGGAAATACTGAGAGACCCTTAGCTATAATGGGTCTGGCACATACTGCTGTAAATACATATTGCATATCTTTTTTTTCTAGGTAATCTGTTTTATTTTATTGTTTCCGTAAATAAGTCATATATGTACTGATATTGATTCCACATAATACAGCTGTAGGTTGATAAAGCATTAAATTAGAAGGCATACTAACTTCCCTACTACAATTTACGTTTGTATTCTCTATTAATACAGTATTTTCAGCCATGTATAAGGCAGTAAATAAAGACACAGAGCACCATATTCAAGCCATCAACTTCATTGTTGATCTTTGTCAATTTTATATCAAGTGGTGACCTGGAGCAGATGGCCAAGAGCACACAGGCTGTAAGAGCAGCGAGTGAGACCTGAGGAAAGTCCAGAAAAATTCACCTTTGGGAAGGATGGGGGAGCAGACAGAAGAATTGGAAAACAGTATTCTCATTTTGATATTTTTAAAAGCCACTCCCCAACAATTTCAGTTTTTCTTACAAAGCTTACAGTTATCTCATTTCACTTTATGACCCCAAAACAGCTGGATTCCAGAAATATTTCTGTCAATATAACAAGTTATATTTCACAAACATAATTCATCAGCAGTGATTACATGTTTTTTTGGCAATTGTTAGAATTATACATGTTCTAGTTACCTTCTTTATCCACACGGAAGACAAAAGTCCTATGGGATGTGACAACTTCAAATTTATTCTCCCCATGAACTCTTACTGTTGCTATGGCAGAGAGCAGTATTATTCCCTTTGAGAACACTTCCTATAATAAAAATGCAATAGAAATAGTTAATAACTCTCATGGAACTCTAAGTGTCTCTCAGGTAGTATTACTTGCCACGATGTTTAGGAAGTTCACATACACAGCCTTTGCTCCTAAAAGTTCACCACACTAATAAAACTGCATCAATAAGTAAACCACTTCACTACCTACACATCACCAACTTCACTGTTCTGGGTCTATGCACACCTACTGCCTTCTAAAATAGAATAAAATCCCATGGAGAGATAGAATGCATATATTTGAGATACCACTTCATAAATTGTCTCACGCCACTAATATTGCAAAATATCACACTCTTAAATTTACAATTTTATGCCAAAGTAAATTACATTGACTATCTCACAGAACCATAATTAAAAAAAAATACAATTATTATACTTGTAGAATAGAATTAGACAAGGGAAAAAATTGTGCTTTCTCCAAACAGAAAATTCCAAAGAATTTTTCTATTCCTTTCCCACTCCTTCACTGGCTAGCCAATAAGAAAAGTAAATTCACTGATTTTATCCCCAATTTTGAACTGAAAGGGGATCATTACTCTCTGGAAAAATCCATTGCCCTGTCATCACTAACAAAAATCTTCTAGCCTGTGTCACGTATGTGCTTTTCTGCTATATCAGGTAGGAGGAGAACCATCTCTCAAAAACATCATTTGGCGTAACAGCAGATTTTCCCAAAATTTGCTAATTTCCAACTAGGAATCGGGACAACCGAACCGAACACAAAAGCAAGATAGGAAAAAGAAACTGCTACAAGTACTTTCTCCAAATGGTTCATCTTTTAACTTAATTAACCTAAGTATGCCGGGGGGGTATACTTAGGCAGGAGGGAAATGAAAGCTCAAGCAGACATGCAACGCCTCGGAAATACTTCTGCACAATTCCTGGATTCCAGAATTAACGCTGCTGCTCCTGTCCCCACGATGCTTTGATCAATTGGTTTTCTAATTAAGACAATTCAGATACACTGCTAAAATTTATGATCCAGATGCAATAATAGTCCAAGAGTCAGCTCCCCTTAAGGAATTTGTACTGCAAAAACTTTCCTCCCAAAGTATAAATTATTATAATAGATTTTATACAAGGACTTAAGGAACCACTGTGAATGCTAAGCATGAAGGTTATACAGGATCATTTTTTTGTTTACTGAGTTTAATATACTACTCCATTTTCACCAAATTCACTCTTATGTTGTTTCACTTCTAGGTACTAATATACATCAGTGATTGCAGTTTAGAAAATGAATAAATAGAAAATCAAAATACAGCTGAAGTGAACATGTTACTATAATTACAAGAGCTACTCTGTCACTCAGAACATTCTTAGTATTGCACATCTATTTTCATTATGGCTATATTTGTTAGAAGAGAGATTTTAACGTATTTGTTACTAAGGTTGAATATTATGTTAACTACTGATCCTTCACAATGGGAAAGCAAACTTATTACATATACTATTTCTAAAGGTGTTCAGATATAATTATATTACGGTGTTTGCAGGCATCTACTGGCTGTATTTGGTACTGTAAGAGAATAATTCAGACTGCTGGAACTCACAGCTATTTTATCTTATTTGCTTAAAAAAAAGAAGTCAGTTTCCTTTTCAGCTGAGCTGGAAAGTTCTGGTTGTACTATTTAAACAAACCTTTTTTAAAACTTTGTTCTCCAAGGCATACATATTTTCAAATACAATTTAAACCATAATAATTTCTCAAACACAGCGAAGAACCTCACAGGTATTTCTTCTGTTACTGAAAGATGTACACTAGCTTTAGGACTGCTAAAAAACAGAATGGTTTTCTAGTGGGGAAAGAAAAATGTTTTTTTGATATCAGCTGCTTTGATGAAAACTTTTATTTTCAAATACAGCCCAATGGAGTCCTCCTTGACAGGAGAGCTGGGCTAAAAGATCCTGGAAAACATTGTTTTGCACTGCTTTGGCACTGCTTTGGCTTTCCTTCCACAACAGATTAAATATGACCTATTTCAAGAATGACACTGATTCACCTGTTTTGCAGTGAATTTTGTTTTTTGTTATGCTCACATGCAACATAAGACAACAAAATATTGAAGTTCTCCACATAAAAATGCAAGACTTTTTCCTAAATCACTAATATATTTGTCAGGGACCCTAGGATGATTTTAAAAAACTTCCAATATAACCAGCAGTTTTTACATTACTATAAAGTGCATGTTAAAGCATTAGAGTTCTCCTGCCAAAAGTTGGAAGAAATTTGAAACAAAAACTATGCATATTGGATAGCTGAAAAGAATTCTCAAATTCTACCTTCCTCTCTTCAGTTTGCTCTCACTTCAGTTAACCACATTCTGTTAAGACAAAACCACACGGGATGTTGCTCTGACCACAGCAACTTGCTCAGGACCATGAACATAGAAGAAATGAGCAGCATCAAACAAAAACCGTTCCTAGGTCAGATGCTGTTCGTAGAAAACTTTTTCATACATGCGGATATAAAGGAAAGAAGAGCTATCTATCGATGAGAAGTTGAGGCACAACTGGAACAAGGTTAGAGAAATATTTAGAAAATTAAGGTTTAAATCATTCAGAGAAGGGTTTAGATGGGCTAAGTATACATTTTCAGGAATACTACCCTCTGTGTCTTCCCTCCCCATCCTCCACTTGTTTCACGCTTCATTAGCCATGTAGCACACTTCCTCTTCTTGAGAACCTCACTCCTCTCAAGTTCCTAATTTGAATGACAAATAGAGCTTTTTAATATTGGTAGTGTTTCTGGGTAAAATAAACAGCTTCATTCCACTGAGTCTACCCTTCTCTGCTTGTAATAATCAGAAAAATATCCCAAGTATGGATTGGTTTCCTTTTGAGAACTACTTTTAATTGATACATGAAACCAAAAGTGTAACAATTCCGTTTAACATGCTTGTCTGTGTAGGAATGTCCTTGGACAAACACACATTAGAATAGATGGATCTTGCCATTAAGATCTGAAGTTAAAACAACTTCCCCATTTAAATATATATATAGCTAGCCATGTAGCTAGGAGGAGGCACCTGCTGCCTTGCAATGAACTGTATAACTATCCCTGTCTTTTACCAGAACCAGCTCCTGAGCTGCATGCAGGTCTTGATGGTTCTGCAAATAGTTACTTACTATGTCAAGGTAACAACACACAAACAACAGCAGGAACATGCTGGTATCCGTCTAGGAGGCAATATGAATACTCTGGGTGTGGGACTAGTGATCCAGCAGAGACCAATGTACCAAAAACTCACGTTCCACAGTGACACCACTGCTCACTCAACACAATCCCACTGTGCACTGAGAACTACTGGTAGACAACTATGTTCTCCTCCTATCTGCAAGTTAGTCCAAGAGTTTCACCAAATCCTCAGTTCCCAGAATTTGCTTCAGGCCTCGCAGTTCTCAGACATACGAAGTTCTCAGCATATGTGACTCATCAAGTTAACAAGTCAGACACCCAGATTTGGTCAAATTGTATACACACACAGACCAATCAGCATCTCTTTCAGTCCCATGAGTGAGGTTTTGTACTCAGATACTTGGAGACAAAGACCAAGCCTTTTACAAGCTACTGATAGTGTAACCTATCACAGAGACCTTTTAAATAGAGGATGCAGAGGTGGTAGCTTTCTATGCATTGTGTGACACACTAAATATTTAGTGACACACTAAATATTCCCCTGAGAAGAAGGGAAGAAAAAAAATCCCCAGTGCAGATATACAAGATTTAAAATTCT